TTTAGATAAAAGCATCAAAAAGCTCTGCTGAAGCACTCAATCTATACAGATGCTGCAGAGCCCGGTTGAAGTAATGCATTGCTTCTTCCGGTAAAGTGTGTTGGGTTGTTTTTGTTGTTTAACGTCTGCAAGCAGACCTTGTAGTTAATATTACGAATGCACCAGAAACACTCTATTGTACATTTGTTAGAAATGAAAAATAAATAGACCTGTCATATTTACCGGGCTAACTCCCCCAGAATCTCTCTCCTCTTCATATTCTCCCTCAGATTAGAGGCCTTGCACCTTAGTGTCTTTAAGTGGAATCTTGGGATTCTTCCATTGTTAGACTGGGCCCTGGGCCTTATATATATTGTACTTACCCAGCAGGTCAAACAGTGGTTCTTGCTTGGAGAGTGTCAGCTGTAGTGTACAATAAGCAAAGTGCATTCTTAAAGGATTGATTTTATTTTACCAGCAGGAATATAGCATTTGGAAAGAAAATAAGATGTTAAACTGACAAACATTCCACGTACATGACTATCCTACTGTCCTGTGATAGGGACCAAGGCAGGCCTGGCTTCTTCAGGCACCCCAGCAGGTGGCTATATCTGTCTGATTCCCCCCAAAACTCCCCCAGCACTAATCTTGTCTTTTGAAATAATCAACCCCCTTATTAATCCACCCAGAATCCATTTGTTCTTGTCAATGCCAAGGCTGTAGGAATTCCAATCCTTGTCAATTCCAGTTCCAGTTGAATAGGCTCAGCAGATCAAACCAGACACCTTAGAGCCAATGCCTCTGCCATTGTCTTGAAACAACCCTCAAGTTTTCACTGAAGGGTAACTTATTTTGAAAAAATCTTCTCTTACCTCTCATTCTCCTTATAATTGCCTACTAAACTGAATCAGTATATTCCTACAGTTAACATAAAAAAAACCATGTCAACATATAGGATTAATAAATTATTACAGACTAGCTCCAGATCCATCACAAGACCTATCCATCTAAACATGAAAGACCACTTCCCCCACCTCTCTCCATGCCATACTGACATGCTTGAGATCAGCTGAGGCTCTCAAGTTGGAAATTCGTTGGTAAACGAGTGAAGCATTATGCAAGATGTTCCCTGCGAGTGTCCCATGGCTTTGGACAACATTCCCCCATGATCTGAAATAGCTGGAGTCTGATGAATTTCAGGTCATTCCACAAGGCTCGTTTCTCCCCTCGGGCATTTAAAAATAGGGGAAGGGTGCAGGATTGTCAGTGGACAGATGGGGAAATGACTGTGGAGGACATGTGGTGTGCTGAATGTACTACACTTGTGACTGCAGTTATATCAGGAGTGTCTGGAGCAGGCATAGGCAATGTTTTTTGGCTGGAGTGCTGAAAAAACCACAATGCCTACCTTGGAAGGTGCCAGAGTGCCAGCATGCCAGAAAAGCAAAAAGTGGGGAGTGTACATAGCAAGATGCACTGCATATTAGTATATTTAATAATCATAAATGTTGCCTTTGTTGTTGTGTATTCCTTTTTTGTTAAGAATGTTGCAATGAGAGAGAGAGAGAAATAAGAGAAAGGGGGAAAAGAGAAAGAGGGAAAGAGAATTAAAAAAAATGAAAGGGAAAGAAAAAAAGAAGAGACAGAGAGAGAAAGGAGAGCAGAGAGAGAACCAGACACATACACATGCATACAGAGAACCAGACACGCAGACACAAAACCACATGTGCACAAACACAGAGAACCAGAACACACCCAAAACAGACACATGAGCACACATCCAGAACCAGACACATGTGCACACACAGACACACAGAACCAGTTGTGCAGGCACACAGAACCAGGCTGCTCGACCACCGGACAAAGTCTGACCCAACGATGCCCTGGACCCACCGGAGCCCCTGTGCTTCCCCAGGGAGCCAGCCCCCAGGCTGCAGCATGTCCGGCCAAGGCCCCGGCCCACAGTCTGCCCATCAGCCCAACCACCCATCCACCCTGCACAGCTAAACCCGCAAAAGTGTGGCACTCCCAGCAAAGGGCAGTGCCAGCCTCATCTTGGGTCTGGGCCTGGGCTGGGCTTGGAGCAGGTGGGAGTCAGGTGGGCTCAGCTGCAAGCCCTGGGCTCCGTGGTTGGCAGCAGCTACCCAGAGCCTGAGCTGGCTGCAGCCCGGAGGCTTCAAACAGCTGCTCCAGGCTCTGGCATCAGCTTTGTCCTGGCAAGTGCGTGTGGACCTTGGAGTGGACAGTGGGGCTAGGGCCTGAAGCAGCACACCCTCCCACTGTCCACTCAGAGGTTCACGCACAGTCGCTGCCAGCATGGAGCTGATGCCAGGACTGCGGAGCCCGGCACAGCTATTTGCAGCCTGCCTGCTGCCTGCACTGGGAGCAGCCCGGGCTCTGTGGCTGGCAGCTGCTACCAGAGCCAGAGCTGGTGATAGTGTGCCGAGCAAAATGGCCTTGAGTACCATGCTTAGCACACGTGCTGGGGTTGCTCATAAAGATGGGTGCCAATTTTTACACTTGCATAAATTAAAATCAACACAACATTTTTCAGAGTTAAATGACCGCAAAAGGAGAAAGAAATCATGAGGATATGTACATTCGGGGGGCGGGGGCAAGATGGCATTCCCATTCAGCAACATTTGTCAAAAAGTTTCAATCAACAGTTGGGCGTGTATAACCACCTCCATACTCCAAGCTATTTTAAACCTGTAAAGTCACTAGTTTCTTTTCAACAAACCCCAAATTGCATACACATGTTAAGTAAGCTCTTTCCTCTGCAATCCTATATCCCCTGTTTCCACCTGTGAAAATGGATTTGTTTACATAAAGTGAAAATCATCATTGTTTCTGACCTAGTAATTACAGGGTTACTATTGCCCCTTTTGTTTATCATTTTGCAACCTATGCAAGCCTGTCTGAATTTTAAACACTATTTTCCTCTGTACTTTATGAGTCACTCTAGTATTATTATTATTATCCTTATCATCAGATTCAAAGTTAACAAGCACTTCTGTCAAGAAGTGACAGACCTGCCTCTAATGTATGGCTGTTGAATAAATAGGTTGGAAAGGATAGCATCAACAGCCTGATTTTCATGCAGGCACACCCTGCAATGCAAAAGGACAAATGCAGCTCAACGAGTGGGTTGTGAGCAGAACTTCCAAATGCTAGCATCAATCCTTGGGCATGACAAACATGGTTTGCTGTTATTACTGTCCAATGAAGGCTTCTCCCCAGGTGATATACTGATGGTGTCAGCTGCCCAGGAGGACTGGCATCATTTTATACGGCCTCTTTAAGCTAAAACTGCCAGATAATGCACAGAGATTGCAATAATGACATCTAATTGCAAGGAAGAGTAGTTCACTACACAAAATTAGTAGTGTCTATAAATATGAGTGTTTAACCACTGGAAAGGAAGCTGCTACCTTGATGGGTTGCTGGAGGTAAATCAAGAGCAAGCAGTTGGGTTCTGTAGTTCCCAACAGGAGTGATTTCTTTGAATTGCAACCTAAGTTTTGTGGATCTTTGCAATAGATTAAGGAAGGAGGTATGCCAGCATTTTAAAAACCAATCACTTTTAGCCATGAGAGAATTTCAAATGACTTTGAAAATCTTTTTCCTCCCCAAATGTCCAAAACAGAGATGCCATCTCTGTGTCCTACACATCACCAGCCTCAAGTTCCTGCTAAGAAATACTAGTACAGAAACAGCATCCACTGCAAGACAAAAGATATTACTTACTATGGTTTCCAGTGATAGACAGACTGGAATTATGACAGGTATTTCTGAAGCTCTTCAACATATATATCCTTATTGAACTGATTAAATATTTACCTATGGGTCTAGCAGGGCATTTGTAATATCTAGACTTACTCAAACCACAAACCTAAATATTTGCAGGTTTAAGTCAGTTCTTCATCCTCCAGCAATAGATAAATTGAGTACCAGCAGCTTATTTCATAGAGGTCTTTTGGACACAAACTTTAAAAGTCTATATTTTAAAAGTTTTAGGTGCCAAATTCCATCTTCAGTTATCTAACTACCTTTTAAAATCCAACACAAAGTTCCTATCTACTCTGCTTTGACATTAAACTTCCCATGATAGTTTGTACAAAAGTGAGGATTTATGCTAATATTCTTTCTTGTTCCTTTCTCCACATCTCCCAGGGTGCAAGATTCAATGTGCCAATTTTCTCTACCAAGGATATAGCTGCAGTTCAGTGGTTAGGTATATATCTAGCACTTTATCCTGAAAAAGCCTTAGAAGGAAATTACATTTTAACTGTATAAAGTATCATAAATAATCATTAACATATAATGGGTTCATCTATGGAGATAGCTAACTTAAAAGAAGGAATTCCATGAGCCATCTCTCCTGGCACTTTTAGACAATGCTAGTTGGTGATCTTCAGGGGCACTTTCTATAGAGGAGGACCACCCTAGAATCAGTCCTCAAGGCACAAGCCCCTTAACAAGCTCCTTACTGCTAAGCTAAAACATGAGGGGGAATGTGCAGCTCTCTTCAGAGGATTAGATTTCCTACCCAGCTTTCTAAAATCCTTCTTCTGACAGTTCTGACTGCAACACATCACCCAATAAATGTTAGATTGTGACTCAGGTCACAGTAAAAATTGAGAGCAGCTGGGGTAGTGTAAAAAAATCTGTTTGCTTACTTTACTGAGTCAGAAATAACCTTAAGATTTGTGGTTTACTTGGATTTAATAAAGCACCTATCCAAACTTGCATTGCTGTATAAATGATAAAGCGCAACAAAGGGTAGATATCTTCAATGCAGATGGCAAGAGCTCTGCCAAGCAGCACACATTCTCCAAATAACAATACAAGAGAGTATATGACACAAACATAACATCAAAATAAAACAGTAACTTAATGTGATCAGCCCACATTAACAAAAACCCAGGATCTCTTAACTAGCCATCTTCTAATCTTTTACCCAACTCATCCTAGAAATGCTCAGGCAATTAGATGTGCTTTGCAATATGGCCTGAAAGTTAACAAATGAGGACACTGTTGAGCCAATGGGGGTAATGAGTTACAGAGCTGAAAACAAACCCGGATAGAAAATGCCTTGCATTCAGCTCCTTCTTTTAAACCATGGGACTGTCAATTCTAGAACGTCTGCTGACTGCAGCTGTCATGGTATCATCTAGGAAGAAAGGTGAGCCCTCTATGAGTCAGCACAGAAGCTTTAACTGTTGACACTGTGCAGCATTGTCCCTAACTTTAGGGGAAGCATCAGGCTGATGCTCCTGTTTATTACTGTTGGAGGTGCTGGCAGATACCAGGGTGTGGGAACAAAAAACTGTGGGGTATCAAAGGTGCACAAACCACTTGCTTCTTACAGACTATTCCTGTGAGATGGTTATGTCTTGTCCATAAAGAGTCTGCAACCCCACTAAAAATGTAAATATCTGAGATAACATGAAATTAATCAATTTACATTTGAAGATTAAAATAATAGTATCATGATAGAAGTGATAATTTAGAGATACTTCCTTACTTAGAAGACTACAGAAGTTGGGAATTGAGAGATGGTCCCTCAGTTAGGGTACTCAGTGAGAAAGAGAGACAAAGGGTCTGCAGAGGTTGCCTGCTGTTCCACAATTAAAGTTTGTTTAGTTCTTCTCATTCATGTACGCCTATATTTATTTAACCCGCTGATCACCACACCTACTGTGTGAGGAGTGGTATGTTTGTTAGACTGAACTGAGAAGGGATCGGAGAAGGTAAGTGAATGAGGTCCATATTGGTCTCTGCACAATAATTTGGGCCTAATGAGATGCAAGGCTACTGCTGTTCAACATTGCCAGAGGCAACAGAAAAATCTGAAGAGAATCCGTATCATTTTTCTCCCAACCCTTGCTTCAAAAATGGCTGAGCTAATATCTCTAGGCAACATAGCAGCAGTGTATTTTACAAGAAGAGAAAATTCTGTTTTCAGAACAATTTTCAAAGAGCGCACAAAGTATTTTATAGGTCGCTGAGAAAACCCAAGAGTTCATCTCTATCCTGCTGCAGCTGGAATTGCTGTTTCCTAGCTCATATCTCAGATCCATCACTGCAACAGGAAAGTGTGATTTTATAAACTCAGTAAACCATTTAAATCTTGTGTAAAACACATTATACATGTTAATAGTTTCATTTGGCAAGACTGCCTTCACCATTTTTCTGTGATTGCATTAAGGTACTGTATATTGATATCTTCTCATATGTTAAGCAACCCCTTAACGGACTGCATTGCCTGAGAGCGTTAAGTCTGTAAGAAAAAAAGCATCACTGCCCAAAAAACTATTTCACATATAGTAATTTTCTAATATTAATGAACACTATAACGTACCACTGTATTTGCCAACCTTGAAATGTAGCAGAATATATTATTTGTATGTAATTTGCTTTAGAATGATCTGACACTGCAAAAATGCCTCCAGGTTCCACAGCTCATGTAAAATATAATAAAGACATAAATAATTTAGAAGAGGAAATAGGTAGTATTATGACAGTGGTGTTTTTCATGCTGCTATACTTAAAAGTCTGGCTGTGCAGCTGTTAGAAACTCTTATTTTCACTTGGGAATAGCATTTTTCTTTGGGATCAAACTGGGCAAGGGAAAATCCCATCAAAATTCAGATTTTTTAAATGTTAATTTGAAGAAAGTCAGCTGCATGTTCAGAGATGAAATGACAAAGCAAAGAATGCTCTACTTATCTTAGGTGTTTCTATGACTCCTACCATCTCACTGTGTTATCTAACCATCATGGCTTGGACTGGGTCCCCCAAGCACAGAATCTCTTGATTTCTAATTCTAGCTGAGATACCATGCCTCCTACCAGGCATGGTTTGTTTGTTTTTTTTTGTTTTGTTTTGTTTTGGGGATTTTTGGGGGGTAGGGCAGAGGTTTTAGCAAAAAAAACCTAAATGAAGAGAAGGTGAATAGGAGAGTTTTTAACCATGTTCCATTCAGTAAAGTTAATGGGAGTTGAGCCCTTTTATGCAAATAGAGAACTAGATCCTCAGTCGTCCTGTTTCCCCACCTACCAAACATGAATAATTAGTTATTTAATTCCTGTTAATAAGACAGAAATGCAGCACGGGTGTTGTGAGACTCAATTAGTCAATTTTTGTAAAGTGCTAGAGTGCCTAGGTGCTAAGTATAATTGCTAATTCAGTAATATCTTCATTTCTCAAAATAAGAAATCATTGGAGCCCAATCCATTATAAAGTGGGCTAGTGCCTTTGGGTATTTTAGAAGGGCAAAAAGACAAATTGAAAAGCACCAAGTCATTCATTTCAAAGTGCATTAAAGCATGCACTACCATGTATTCTGATGAAAATGTTCATCAGTTTTTTTACCCAAAAAAAGATCAAATGCATTCCTGGATTCTATGTTCTCAAAATATTCACTAATGTTAGACAGGGAAACATCAATGGCTTCTTGCTCTGAATGATCCCCACCAATGTGTTCGGGCCACTGTGGTAAATCTATTTGAAACTACCAAACACTAGTAGGAATGGGAGACTGAAAAAAACAATTCAGAAAAAAGCAGGAAGAAAAATAATAGTAAATATCCACTGCAGGGGAACCAAAATTCACCTGACGTGGTCTCATAATGGGGCCTGTGGGTATTTTGCTTCAGAGGTACAAATGCTCTATCATAATCTTAGTGACCAGGCTGCTCAGTGTAAAATGGAGCACTGCTTGCTGGAATCTGCAGTGTCCAGGCTGCATCTCTGTATTCAAAATGAGAGCCATCACAATCTGCTCCATTTTACGCAAATTAGGTGCAGCTCTTTGGCTCTTGGCATGTTCCCAATGCAGCCCTCAGACGAGCATAATTCTACAAAAACTGAGTTAACTCTCAGATTGCAGTCATTCCTTCTTCCCCAGGAATCATGGGTGATAAAGGCTAGAGTCCTCTATTGGGGGACTTCACAGAGAACAAGCATACCTGTACATACTTAATAACCAGCAGTACATATTTGGAGCAGGGAATATGTGAAGAACAGCCATTCAGCCTTAAACTCTCAATTCACTGGCTTTTGGGTTTGATGCTTTCTAGGCTAGAGCAGGGGATAGAGATGTTGCATATTTAATGCTCCCCTCTTTCTTCCTTGCAGGGGAAAAGAGGGTGTGTATCTATTGGCATAGCAGAATGAACTCGTGCTTTCCAGTTTTTCCCCATGTTAGGAAATAGGTCCTGTCTCATTACTGGTGACAGCACATATTGGTAGGTCATAGAGCAAAGGGAGAGCCTTGCGTAGAACAGCTGGGGCCCAGAGCCAGAAATCTCATTAAAGTAAGCTGCTGCTATTTCCAGCCTGTAATAGAGCTTTGCAGCTTGATTATATTCAGTGAAAGCAGGTCATTACAAACACAGTGCTTTTTGCATATTATCTAAATTAAAATAATAATATGTTCCCTCCTTTCATGTGCTATATTGATAAATCCCAACTTATGAATGAAACATGTTGATTAGTTAGTTAAAAATAATTAGTTCCATATTATGCCTCCAAGTTTAAGTCTTGATTAGTGCAAACAAATAACTTTTCTTGATAATAAGTCATTTACAGATTATTCTTTTAAGTGGAACACACAAGCATAAGAACTATCTAGTGAGGGAAATTATGATGCCACTGGATTTCTTTCCTTGCTCTTTCAGCTTAAATGAAATGTTATTTTTAGAACCTGATAGGAAAAAGAAATCTACATAGGACTAAATTCTGATCTTATTTACTGCAGCGTAAATCCAGATTGACTCCACTGGTAATGGTGTAGCCAGAACAGAATCAGGTCTGCAAACCTCCTTTTGAATCCCTCTTTTTAGACCACCATTCACGAAGAGTGATTATGACACATTCAGTGCATATATTGGCTGAAACTCTTTCTGCTCTAGCTGCTTATTACTTAACTGTCATTTAAATATCTTCTGATCTGAGCTGTAGAGTGGGAAATACACAAGGATTGCTTTTTCTTTTTTTAATTGTGATAGCCTTAAGCAGCTCTTTCAATGATTTATTCTTTCTTTTTAAATAAGGAAAAAAACCCCAGCATCAACATTTTTCTTAGGTCACAGTTGAAAAAAAGCACTTAACCACATGCTTAAGTCCCATTGAAGTCGACAGGATTTAAACAAGTGTCTAAAGCTTAAGCAGTGTCCTGAATACTGATGCTTTCTGAAGTGGAGCCTAAGTCTATCATGCCTGACTCTCCCAGGCATTTCTCATCCTAGAAAAATAAGGACCCATAAATATCCACCAGTGTAGTTCCACTGGTGCCAGGTTATAATGTTGATAAGACTCTGGCATTTTTACTGCCACAGAATGAGACACAGATCTGCCTGTGCCACAGATCTGCCTCTGCTGTTGCTCCCAACTGTGAAGCTCCACCAATGGAAAATGATGGGCCTCAATTACCCTGGTGTACAGAAGTAGGTTTATTTTGGGACTGCACATTAATGTTCAGCAGTTTGCCAGAGTGTGAAAAGCCAAACTCGTACAGAACGTGAACTTCAGCATCCACGTCAGACCATGGTGATTCTGAGATCGGTCAATAATCTGCCATTTCTAAATGCATTCTTAGGTGGTTGACAAGAAAATCTTCCAAAGACAAAAACAATATATGGAGGTGTCAGTTTGTTTAAATGAATGTGTGCAAGTGAAAAAAGTTGGACTGAAAGCCTGGAAGAGTAATATTTTGGGTTGGACTCCATGACATATATGACAGGCCCATTGCTTCTGTTCAGACAGCCAACAAGTAGGGTGTGACAGTAGCACTTGTGCTGTGAACACACATTTGCTAAGATTTGAGACCCTCGACTTACCGTTCACATATACTGAACAACCCGAAGGCAGAAATGACTTTCAGTCGCTGTTGACCTGCGAGGGAGTTGAACCACTGACTAACTGGTTAAAAGCTCCTTAAACCATTACCAGTCTTCTCTCAAGGCACTTACAGAGGTTTGGCAATGGGACCATAATATCTAAATGCTTTTAAAGCATTCAGTCCTTTTTTAAAAAAAATGCCTTTATAAAATCAGATATTCTGGGCCTATTTATGACACCACATGCAAATCAAGAGTAACCTCACTGAAGTACATAAAACTGCACCAGTGTAGACCCACATGATATTAGAATAAGGCCCGTATGCCAGGCAATTAAACA